ATGGTCCTTGGCATGTTGTGGCTCAGAGGGTGCAGGAGTCACATGTCCACAATGATCCCACCTCTGCATCACTGCAGCTGCCCACCTCCGCTCCACCACTGCTCCCCGCTATCCAAAACCCACACGGGGAGAACCACACGGGAGAAGACAGGCTAGTTTTCTCCCCATCTGGGTTTTGGACAGCTTGTAACACTGTCCTGGTAATTAGCCCACTGAACTAATTTGTGTGTGTGTGGGGGGGGGGTTTCTATCATCACTGAAGATTATTTTTCCATTGATTTTTAGAGATATTGGAAGAGAGAGGGAAAGAGAGAAATGTCAATGTGAGAGAGACACATCGATTGGTTGCCTCCTGCACGCACCCCGACCAGGGCCTTGGCCAGGGAGGAGCCTACAACCAAGGTACGGCACTGCCCTTGACCATGCCCTTGACTGGAATCAAACCCAGGACCCTTCAGTCTGCAAGCCGACGCTCTATCTACGGAGCCAAATCGGCTAGGGCGGTGGTCGGCAAACTGCAGCTCGCGAGCCACATGTGGCTCTTCGGCCCCTTGAGTGTGGCTCTTCCACAAAATACTGACTTCTGTGCATGGGCCACGAAGTTTCAATCGCATTGTACGTGCGCGCCCGCACATGGTATTTTGTGGAAGAGCCTCACTCAAGGGGCCAAAGAGCCGCGTGTGGCTCTCGAGCCGCAGTTTGCCGACCACTGGGCTAGGGCAAACTAATTTGTTTTTATCTCCCGTGATCAGAGCAGCAGCCTTCCAAACCGGGTGTTGTCTGTTCACCTTAGAACTACTTTTTGTTGGTCAATAGACACCTGTTCATAGAGCCCTGCACACGTGACCGTAAGATCCTCACGAGTTCCCAGAGACAGTCTTGGGGGAAAGAGGCTATCTGCTGAATGCAATGAGGACCTCCTGTGTTCCCTTATCATGTTCCGGCGAAAACCATCTTCACGTTCTCATGAAACTTCTGGGCACCACCCTCCACATTTAAAGTTTCTCTGATATCATCTGAGACTTGCTGGGTATGACAGGCTTCTAGGCTGTCTCCGTCCTTCATCACACAGGCAGTCTTCATCAGTGCTCATGGCACACTGGAAATTTCTCAGATGGAAATTCCTGGCCCAGAATCCCAGCAGATTTGGCACCTGTATGCTCGTGCCTGCCTTTCTACATAACAACACCTTTGCATTTCAGGCAGAGTGGTGAATGTGTCGAGCATGGTGAGTCTCAGAGCTCTGAAAAACTGCAGCCCGGAGCTGCAGCAGAAGTTCAGAAGCGACACCATCAGCGAGGAGGAGCTGGTGGGGCTCATGAACAAGTTCGTGGAAGATACTCGGAACGGGGTGCACCAGAAGGAAGGCTGGCCCAACACTGCGTACGGCGTCACAAAAATCGGCGTCACTGTCCTGTCCAGGATCCACGCCAGGAACCTGAGTGCGCACAGGAGAGGGGACAAGATCCTCCTGAATGCCTGCTGCCCAGGGTGGGTGAGAACCGACCTGACTGGACCCCAAGCCCCCAAAAGCCCAGAAGAGGGTGCGGAGACCCCTGTGTTCCTGGCCCTTTTGCCCTCAGATGCTGAGGGGCCTCACGGACAGTTTGTTATGGAGAAAAAAGTGGAACCATGGTGAGCTCCCCTCACAGCCCGCTCCGTGGGCCCCATTGTGCTATCTGTCCTGAACTGACCAAAAGGACATGCACACTGTCACATCATTTCTATCCAAATATATGTATTGTTCACGTGAGAAACGTTCACACCTGTGAAGAATTTTTGTGAGTTTATTTGAGCCAAACTGTCGACAAATGCTGGGAAGCAGAATCTCAAGGGATTGGGATAATGCTCCTGAGAAGGGCAGTTTTTTATCTGGTTTTATACATTAGAACCAAAAGAGGAGACCTAAGTGGGTTACACAAAATCCGCTGGTGATAGATTAGGGAGGTGGGGGAAACCTCTGGGATTGGACAAAAAGTAAAATGATAGACATGCACTTCTTTAACGTAGGTGGGTGCAGGATAGCTAACAGTTAACAATTAGCTCGCTAACAGTGAGGGGGTTTGTGGCCTCTGCGGAGCGGTGCCTGTCCTTTGAAGGGTCCAGAAAAAAAGAAAATTACTTTGACATTCCAGCGATATGTCATTGTCAATGCAAAAAGGCAACAGACATGCTGGGCTTCTGGTTTCCTTCAGGACACAGCTCCCTCGAAACCTTGGTGGTTCCAGAATACAGGTGTCCCCTCCCCACCTAAACCTACACCAGTTCCTGACAACCACATAGGCAGTGCCAAAACACCAACCAGGGGCCTGCCGTTCACATCCTAGATGGGTAAATAGTGAATCCCACTTTATCCATCTGACTCGAAGCCCAGCCAACTCCCAAAATATCACCTGCACTCAACCAAAAGTCTACCTGTAAGTAACAGTCGGTCGTGTTAGGTTATCGGATGTTTAACACAGCCCTTCCTAACTGCATGGCTCCTAAATCTATTCTTTTTCTTTGGACTGGCTCTCTCACCTGCTTTGCCTCCTTATCCTGGATTCTGGCCTGTTCTTAGCTTTTTGGGGACTTCCTTGTAAAACACAGGGCAAAAACATGAGCTAAACATTTTGATGGTTGCCTAATGAGAGGGAGGTTGAGGGGATGGGTGAAAAAGGTAAAGGGATTTAGAAGGAATTGGTGACCTCTTGGTGCATGGGTGACCTCTCAATGCATTGACTATATTCCCTACGCCCAGAAGATAGCCAATAATCCTATATAATAAAAGGCTAATATGCAAATTGACCAAACGGTGGAATGACCGGTCACTATGACGCGCACTGACCACCAAGGGGCAGACGCTCAATGCAGGAACTTCCCCCTGGTGGTCAGTGCACTCCCACAGGGGGAGCACCGCTCAGCCAGAAGCCGAGCAGCAGCGGTGGTAGGGAGTGGGCCTAAGCCAGCAGTCGGACATCCCCCGAGGGCTCCTGGACTGTGAGAGGGCGCAGGCCAGGCTGAGGGATGCCCCCTCCCGAGTGCACTAATTTTGTGCACTGGGCCTCTAGTATTGTAATAACTAGGTGTGGTGGTAATAACTAGGTGGGTATGAGATTACTTGGGATGATCAGTTAGTAAGTTGTATAATGTCTAATCACTGGGGCGTACCTGAAAGTAATATAATATGGCATGTCAACTATCATTGAAAAATTAAAAATGTGCCCTGACTGGTTTGGCTCAGTGGATAGAGCGTCGGCCTGCAGACTGAAGGGTCCCAGGTTCGATTCCGGTCAAGGGCATGTATCCTGGTTGCGGGCACATCCCCAGTAGGGAGTGTGCAGGAGGCAGCTGATCAATGTTTCATTGATGTTTCTAACTCTCTATACCTCTCCCTTTCTCTCTGTAAAAAATCAATAAAAATATTTTTTTTAAAGAAAAATTAAAAATGACTTTTAAAAAATGGGCTAAATGTGGGGATGCTTTGAGGACGAGCATTGAGCTACACAGAGTGGCTCACACCAACAAAGACACCGCGATGCTCCCTTAGGCGCCAGCGACAGTGAAATATCCATGCCAAGTGACTAACCAAGCCTATGGGTGTAGAACTGTTCATTTACAGAAAAACAAAGGAAGCCAATTGATACCAAGGGCAACAACTTAGATGAAATGTATTAATTTTTTTGTAAACACAAATTAAGCATCCACAAGAAACAAAATCTAAATAGCCCTATATCTATTATTATTATTGATTTCAGAGAGGAAGGGAGAGGGAGAGAGAGATAGCAACATCAATGATGAGAAAAAATAATTGATCAGCTGCCTCCTGCACACCCCACACTGAGGGTCAAGCCGGCAACCTTGACATGTGCCCTGACTGGGAATCGAACCGTGACTTCCTGGTTCATAGGTCCAAGCTCAACCACTGAGTCACACCGGCTGGCTAGCCCTATATCTTTAATAGGGTTCCAAATAATTTGCAGGTGGTGGGGGGGGTATATTGGTTGAGCCACAATAAGGGACCGCACATAGCAGGTGCACACCTTCCTGACCTCACCTGTTACTTGATGGAGAAGGTGGAGTCAGAAGCGCCGGCAGCTCAGACAGCTCTGCTAGGAAAAAGCTGAGTCACGATGAGATCGAAACTCTCCATAAGCCCACAAGTCGCCACGAAACGCCCTGGGATCAAACACTCAGATTACACTAAAGAAGGTGGGTGGGGAGTTCTAATAGTCCGTCCACACCTTGGCACACCTTTGGGATTTCTTTTCAGTTGAGCTTTGTGGGTACACAGGTTTCACTGGAGAAAAAATTATGTATGTCACCTTGGACAAACCTAAAATGCAGACACTTCGCAGCCGCGGGGGGTGAAAACATCCCAGTAAAAGGCTTGGCACACAGTCAGAGCTTCATAAACATCCCTCCCGCTGGGGGCGCACTGGGAATCACACAGGGATGTACCTGCGCACACCTGTGCTTCTACTCATAGGACCGCTTTGCCCTAATTCTCTTTGGAGTTTCCCTTAAGCAAGCAGCGCCCTCAGAAGCAGTTACGAGTCTAAAATTTCATTGCATTTTAAAGAAAAAGCAAACATCCTCCTTTTACAGGGGATGATGGGCGCAGACCCAAGAAAATCAGTCAGCACTTCTTTTTCTCCGTGTGGGGTTCTCCTAAAAGAGTTTCTTCTATCCAACTGCCATGCGCCCCTAGACCCTATCCACCCATCACGGTCCGGTTTTGCGTTGGGAGAACGACAGCCGCCCACGGGCTGACCAGGGCTTGGCCGAGACGCCGCGCGGTGGAGGGGGCGGGCCGGGAATGGGGCGTTCCGCAAGCTTCGGGAACAGAAGGCCCCTCCTTGGAGGGTGGGACCGAGGCCGGGCCTCGTTCCTCAAAGTCGCAGCACGGAATCCCAGAACTCAGTCCTGCGCGGTTCCTCTGACTGCGGCCGGGTCTCCGAGGTGGGCCTCTAGTCCGATCCGCTCTCCGTGCACTTACCCCGCGCGCCCCCGACCCGGCCATGTCGTCCTGCAGCCGCGTGGCGCTCGTGACCGGAGCCAACAAGGGCATCGGCTTCGCGATCACGCGGGACCTGTGCCGCCAGTTCTCGGGGGACGTGGTGCTCACGGCGCGGGACGAGGCGCGGGGCCGGGCGGCGGTGCAGCAGCTGCAGGCCGAGGGCCTGAGCCCGCGCTTCCACCAGCTGGACATCGACGACCTGCAGAGCATCCGCGCCCTGCGCGACTTCCTGCGCAAGGAGTACGGGGGGCTCAACGTGCTGGTCAACAACGCGGGCATCGCCTTCAAGTGTAGGTGCTGGAGAGGGAGGGCCTGGGTGCCCCGAGGGTGTGGGACCGGGAGCCGCAGGCGCTCCCACCCACCCGCCTGAGCGATCGGGAAAGGCAGCGTG